TCGGGCAATTAGAGGCGTAACAGCTGCCCAGTTTATCTAGTTGTCTTCTTGGTCCTTTTTTGCTCCTGCTCGGAGTGCAAACAAGCCAAGCCCAAACCGAAGCCCAAGCCCCAAGCCCTAAAACTGATCTGCAACACAGTTTTATGCACGAGCGACTGGCCTCAGCTTGAACCTCAGCTTCACCTTCAGTCTCTGGCTCTACCTCTGCCGCTGCCGCTGCCTCTGCCTCTGTCTTTACATCTGGGCATCTATTGTATCCCTTTTTGCTGCTTTAAATGCATCGTTGGGTTTTCCCGTAGCAAATCAAGCGTAAAGTCACATTGACAATGCTTGTCAAGAGAACGAGGTGAGCCGAGAGGGAGAGAGAGAGAGTGAGAGAGAGAGAGAGCGGGAGAAACCTTTTTCAACTGCTTACCAAGTTTAAAGGGTTCGCTTTGTATTATATTAAGCATACGCCGCGTACGCTAAGCATAAACTTTTGCTGCATTATTTGCCCACTTGCCCTTTGTGTGCGTGTGTGTGTGTGTGAGTGGGTGTTTTCCTTTGCGTTGGCTTCTCAGCGTCACTTGACAAGTGCCACCAGCTGGCAGCTGGCAGTCAGCGCAAATAAACGTGCGTTTTTTTTTTTAATTATTTACGTTTTAATCATTTCCCTAACAAAAAGTTAATTACTATAAAATTTTACAAGCAAGTAGCCAAAGAAAGAGTCAAGGAAAGCACCCAAGAACGAAATGAAACAAGCAAGCAGTGAGGTCCTTGACTTTGTCGCACTAAGAAGTTAAGCTCAAGGTTGTTAGAAGTGTCTAAAAAGTTGACATTCAGCTCAGAAGGCAACAGCATTGTGGGTGCAGAGGGCTTCGAATGCCCTATTTATACTAGTAGAGATAGTTTATTATAATATATGAGAGACCATTTCAATAGATCTAGGCATCGCTCTCTTTTTGACTTAGTTAATCGTTGTTGATATGTTTGTTTGCATAAGTCGATTATTATTTCCACAAAAATAATACTTTTTCAGTCTCTTTTCAGCACAAACGATAAATATCGAATAGGCGTGTATTGTTAAATAAATGAATAAATAAATAAAGCTTTAAGTCTTTATCTTGGGCATATTCAGGGCATTACATAATATACATAGTATCTGAAACCAGAGTAGATTTATTATCAGGTCTCTTTCTAATTTGGTAGAAAAAAAGAGAATGAAAGAGAGAAATAGAGAGAGTGTTTTTAGTCCCCCCTTAGAGGATTTCAATATCTAAAAAAAAAAAAAAAAAAATTAGAAAAATTATA